GTACTAGATACCACAGAAATCTTTCAGTTTTACCAAAATCAAGAAACTCGACAAATCCTTATTCGTAGCACGCACGCATTGTGCCTTCGAAAAGTATTCATTGCATTCTCTCTTCTCCATATTTACTAATAGAAGAGATAATCTCCAGTCGTTCTTCGTGTCGTTTCTTTTTCAGCTTTAGTAGCCATGGTTTAAGCTCAGGTTCCGCTAAGAGCAGACGTTTTCTCTCGGGTTCTTCCTCGGACTCGTCCTTTGTTTTAAACGCGCGATTTTTACGCTGCAATCTATATGGAAGGGATATTCAACAAGATCATGACAGGAAATTCAGTTGCGATACTTCAAAACAGACAAATGTTGATTTTTTTGAAACGTGTGGCATGAAGATATTGCAAGATTTCAATTTTAAGAACATTGTAGTTTTTTTTTTATCAAATTTGAAGAACAAATGAGCTAGAATAATACTTTTTTTTTATCAATGACAGTATCAACTGCGTACCCACCCATCCCTTAAACCGACTTTAATCCAGAGTTGTTATAAGTTGTCTGTTGTTGGCTTAGGGGAGGGGAGGGGAGGGGTAGGTGCATAGTCATTCAGACTGACATTGATCTTAATTTTTCAAAGGCATTAACCAGTGGCGTGAGAGCAGATTGTGGTAAGAGACTGTTAGCGGCCATTCCATATCCCTAAAGAATGAATGTAAGCTGAATCAGATAACCCCTTCCCCCTCCCCCTCGCCTTGACATGACTGATTTAGGCAGGGAACCTTCAAAAGAATTTAGAGAAAATTTACCTGATCCTCTCCAAAGATTTCCTCTCTTTAATAATCTTGTATCTTTGACGAATGAAACGGATAGAGTAGTATAAGGACAAAGTAGAGCCATCACTCACGCAACAAATGAGCATAACAATCACAGTATCGTGCCAAGTCCAGTGTTTAAACTTGATCCAGAATCTTTCCCTGTGGACAGATTTGCTAATCCTTTCCCTGCTGCAACAAGAGGTACGGTGTAAACTATGTAATGAAAGTGATTCTCAAAACTTAATCTATTAGTAGTTTGTGTATCGAGTGAGCGGAGTTTAGTTCGATCGCAGTCTCTGAATAGTTTTGGTTTTCTCCTCTATACCCGTGCAACCATTCGTTACCTCAGGAGTACTTATGGGAATGGGATATTGTCATGGGAAGTCAATTTTAATGCTCAGAATAATAAACAATTCTTCGCGGAAACAACGCGAAGTGAACATTTTTGAATTATCTTCGAGATGAAGTTGAGGGAATTATTAAACAATGCTCACTGAGCTTGAGGCGAATAATTGTTTTAGTTTGCTTGCTCCTGTGCTTTCAAATTCTGTTCTAAATTCTGTAAATAAAGAGAGTATTGCGTATATTTTGGAACAACTTTGTTGATCACTAGTAACTGTATCAAGATAAGCAGGCTGTTTTTAACAGGTTTATTCAACTCAATCAGTGAAAGCTTCATACAGTATCTTTATTATTATTTAGTGTTAGCCAAACTATCGTTTGTGTTTTGTGTTTTGTGTTTTCGTTTATCGTTTTGTGTTTGTGTTTTGTGTATCGTTTGTGTTTTGTGTAACTGATTTTTCTTCTATCGCGTTTATTACTTCTTCGGAAACATTGGCAAAGCTCGAGGCAGTCATTTCGAAATTTAGCGCCCCTGCTATAATCACCTCGTGCGAGGTGATTATGGCGAGATACGACTCAATCGTCGACCAATCAGAGCACGTGTATCTCTAACCGCCTCCCGGTTAGCTCAATTGGTAGAGCGCCGGACTGTTGTGCGGGAGGTCGTGAGTTCAAATCCGGCCGGACCAACACTCGGGGTCTTTAATTAACTGAGAAGAAAGTGCTGCCTTTGTAATAATAATATCTGCAAATGGTTAGACTTTCTAGTCTTCTCGGATCCTGCCATGCAACCTATATTCGAACACGTCGGCTGACAGTCTTCTAACTCGACAGTCCTCTAACGCGTTGGTTGTCACACCTTTAACACGTCGGCCGAAACGCTTCCAACACGTTGGCCGACGCACTTTCAAAATGTGGGCCAACCCACTTCTAAAACGTCCATCAACCCACTTCCAACAAGTAGGCCGACTCATTGCAACACAATAGGCTACAGACAATCAACAAGTCGGCCCACAGACAGACAACGTGTCTGCGACACTTGTCTAACGCGTTGGCCGAACATTTTCAACGCATCGAAAAAAATCTGTAAGAGATTTCCCACATAGGAAAAGTATCAGCACTGAGTGTCAGTATTATTCCCTTTTGTAGGAACACATCAGGAGTATGGTGGTATTATTCGCCATGGAGCAAAGCTATTATATGCGTATGCGGAAGCAACTGTACCTAAAATCACCGTTATCACTAGAAAAGTAAGAGAAATAAATAGTAAACAGTAGAATTTTTTTGGTATGCGTCTTGTTTGGTCAAGAGGGCCGGATTTAGCCTCGTTCTTTCGTGCGTTTCTATGGACGTCGACTTCATCTCGGTCGATAACAACGCCAAAAAAAAAAAAGACTCGGCCAATATCCAGCCATGTTGACCTTACACTTGGTCAATAACGTATATATTTTTTCTTGTTGTTTAGGCGTATGGTGGTGCATATGACGTCATGAGCTCCAAGCATCTCCGAGGTGATTTCAACTATGCTTGGCCAACGTCTGAGGTAGCAGTTATGGGAGCTAAGGTATGCGGCCAGAAATGCTTTTAACTTTGGTACTCAAATGAATAGTGTAGTAACCCCCTGGAGAAAGCGCTGATTAGTTTCCAGGGCTTCCCGACGGGATGCTTATCGGGAGGGGGCTTTGTAGAAAGGTAAGCTATTTGAAAACTTTGTCAAGTGCATGTATGTTTTGTACCTTACTCAATTGAATGACGAGACTGCTATTGCTTCAATTTTTCTCAGGGGGGGAAGGGAAGGGCTTAGGGGGACTTATCAGAGAGAGGGACTTAGAAAAGTGGGGGCTTTTTGGAGAGTATNGAAGAGATAATCTCCAGTCGTTCTTCGTGTCGTTTCTTTTTCAGCTTTAGTAGCCATGGTTTAAGCTCAGGTTCCGCTAAGAGCAGACGTTTTCTCTCGGGTTCTTCCTCGGACTCGTCCTTTGTTTTAAACGCGCGATTTTTACGCTGCAATCTATATGGAAGGGATATTCAACAAGATCATGACAGGAAATTCAGTTGCGATACTTCAAAACAGACAAATGTTGATTTTTTTGAAACGTGTGGCATGAAGATATTGCAAGATTTCAATTTTAAGAACATTGTAGTTTTTTTTTTATCAAATTTGAAGAACAAATGAGCTAGAATAATACTTTTTTTTTATCAATGACAGTATCAACTGCGTACCCACCCATCCCTTAAACCGACTTTAATCCAGAGTTGTTATAAGTTGTCTGTTGTTGGCTTAGGGGAGGGGAGGGGAGGGGTAGGTGCATAGTCATTCAGACTGACATTGATCTTAATTTTTCAAAGGCATTAACCAGTGGCGTGAGAGCAGATTGTGATAAGAGACTGTTAGCGGCCATTCCACATCCCTAAAGAATGACTGTAAGCTGAATCAGATAACCCCTTCCCCCTCCCCCTCGCCTTAACATGACTGATCTAGGCAGAGAACCTTCAAAAGAAATTAGAAAAATTTTACCTCATCCTCTCCAAAGATTTCCTCTCTTTAATAATCTTGTATCTTTGACGAATGAAACGGATAGAGTAGTATAAGGACAAAGTAGAGCCATCACTAACGCAACAAATGAGCATAACAATCACAGTATCGTGCCAAGTCCAGTGTTTAAACTTGATCCAGAATCTTTCCCAGGAGTCTAAGAAAAAGAAAAAAAGTTGAATTAATTAGAAGGCACTGGCCACACAACCTGTTGCTTTAGTTCCGTTGCGTTAGTTCGAACAAGGCACTGTAGATCTAGCTCGGAAAGTAAAGGAAAGTACTTCATGTAGGAAGGACTGCGCAAAGCAACCGGACACAAACCATACATGCATCTTTTTTTTGGTAAAGCAGGTTGAATAAATGGAAGCTGTTGCTAATGTGGACTTGGTATCTACTTTACACTATAATAAATTTACATAAAACAATATATCATAATATTAATAATCATAAAACCGCGTATTGGAAATCCTGTTGGACATGGTCCTAGACAATCAGCTAGATCTAGCTCAGGAACTTTAAAGGAAAGTACTTCTGTGGGAATGAATGCGCGCAATAAACGGAGACATACCCCATATTATAAACCATGTCGGATATGTTTCGAGAAAGGGAAACTGAGGAAACTGGAAAGAAAAACCCTCCAAGCGAGGAAATAATCAGNCTTTCGCTTACTTGTTTTCTTTTTTAGTCCTAAAACCCGGTGACTCACTTGGCGATTTTACTTCGCGATTTCACTCGCCGATCGCGTTGAATTTGATCATCAGTGAAAATCGCCGATATCTAACATGACATATATCAGGTTTTACATGCCGATCGCGGCGACCGGCCAAAATTGCAATCGTTGCACCACAAAAATCTGACCAATATCGCCAAGTGCGTCGCCGGCTTTAGTGAGAGAGGAAAAGGTATCAACAGATTTTACGAGCAAATTGCACTTCACGTTCCGTTCTGTAACGAAGCGTAATATCAAACGAGACGGTTGCGTTTAAAAGAAGACAGAAAAATTTCAAAGACAATCGCAAAATCATCACTACTCAGAATACGATGAAGTTTTTAGTTCAGAACCCTAAAAGGCCGGATAAATTCTCTGTCTTGGATTCTTGGCAACCATCTTAAACACTCTTCCGGTAGCAAGTCAGTAATCCCAGTTTATAGCCATAACATACCTTTCCGCAGGTGGAACTTTCAGCAGAGGATATTCCGAACGGAAGTAAAATTAAAAACAGGCGAATGTCAAACTTTTTCATTTCTTCCTCGGCAGTACGATATGTGGAATCGATTTGTGAAGCGAAACAAAATGAGAGACTAACGTCATAATGAAAATTCAAACGTAATTATTATTCCAACGCGCGCTCCAAGAGGTTTGACGTCGACTTTAAATTGCTGTGTTTGTTAATAGCCTTTTTCCCTCTTATGGTCGAGAATGGTTCTTCATGGTAAGCTTGGGTTGGAAGCGCTGCGGTCCAATGGTTATCGCGCTATATTCCGGATCGGCAGTTGTGAGTTGAAACCTTGGGTGGAGTTAGTATCTTGAGGGACTTGAGGTCTCTGGCTCGTTATCATTCCAACAGTTTCTAACCTACCTCAGGAGTACTGTTCAGAGACGAAACGGAAATCAAACACGTTTATTCGTAACACGGTAAACGGTAAACTCACGATAATACCAACGACCGCCAAACAAATTGCCACTCAAAAACTCAAAACTTTCAACTCCTCAAAAAACAACTTGACACGTCAAAAAAAAGTCCGCATGATTTGCTGACGACATTTTAACTTACGTAATCTCAAAGCACACGCGTGCGAGTCGCGCGTGCATAAGTTCAGTAACGTCTTTTAAACAAGTACATATGGGAATTGGATATTGTAGAGAACTTGAACTTCGTACCTTGATTAATTAACAATTCTTCGCCGAGCAAAGTGAGCATTGTTGGATGATCCTCGAGACGAAGTCGGGGGGATTATCAAAAAATGTTTCCTGGGCCTCAGGCGCATAATTGTTTTGGTATGATAGTATGCTCAGAGGTTCGGTTTCGCTCCGACGAAGGGCTAACGCTCGAAACGTCAGCTTTTGTAATCATTACGGTGGCTAATTTACCATTTCAACTTTGTTGATATATCCAAATTATTTCGTTACTCCCACCGACGCAGCCCCAAACGGTTTCTTTCGAAACTATCAGCCTTTATTCATTTGTAGTAAGAGAATACATGTACTTTTTACCGCAGAAATCTTTCAGGATCACAAAAATCATGAAATTGTATAAATCATAATTTGTAGCACTTATCGTGCTTTTAGGAAAATTATTTATTGCAGTCTCTGTTTTTTCTATTTACAAGTAGAAGATATGAACACTAATCGTCCGTCTCGTCGTTTCTTTGTCAGCTGTGGTCGCCATGATTTCAGTTCAGGTGCTTTCACTGACAGTTGACTTCTTTTCACGGGTTCTTCCTCACCATTTTTACGCTGCAGTCTAGGGGAGGGATATTCAACGAGACTGTCAACAGAAATTCAGTTTGAATAGTTCAAAACAAAGTATCATTAATTTCCGAAGAAAGTGGTATAAAAATTTTACATGCATTAAATTTTCAAGACATTGCACAGTGTCCATTAAATTTTTGGATCAAATGAGCACGATTGATTTTCAGTATCTAAGCGACTACTCGCCTACACTCCCCTCCCCCCCCCCCTCAACTGAACATCAGTCAACTGATAGAAGATAAGGGTTAATGCCGGGCTAGGGGAGGGGTAGGTGCGCAGTTGCTCGGATACATTGATAAAGACATTGATCCAGGTTTCACCGCATAAGCCCGTAGGTGGCTGTTAGGAGACTGTGAATCAAAAAAACCTCTCCACTTCCCCTAATGTGACTGATCTAGGTGAACGTTTGAAAGAAGCCAGAGCAGCATTACCTGGTCATCTGCAAAGATCTCCGCTGTTTGCGAGCTTCGTATTTTTTACGAATGAAACCGATGACGTAGCACAGTGTCAAAGTACAGCCATCCATCGAACATGAAAGGATCATAACAACAACAGTATCATGCCAGCTCCACAATTTAAACTTCATCTGGAATCTTCTCCAGGAATCTAGAAAAAAAGAGAAAACTTTTTAGAGGTAGAAGTCATTAGAATGATCTTGCCTCAGCATCACCGAATGTCTTTAACTGGCTTGTGTTGCGTTTGTTCGAACAAGGCACTGTTGATCTGACACGGGAATATTCAAGAAATTAAATTTTTATATTCTATACAAGGACTTATACGCTAGATCAGACTTTCGGGTGGAGTCTCTGTTTCTCAAATAGACTGTATAAGAATCCTGTGCAAGAAACACCTATCGAAGGAGGCTGGTTCTAAAGGAAGCCTAGGAAATAATATGATTGACGTTTAAAAGTATACACGTAAGTCCTACTAATCGACTTCGAAATCCTTACTGAAGTTAAGGACCGAGTTTTTCTCTCGGGCTGGCTAAAATTCCGAGCTGAAAAGAACAAAGTTGCTAAATTTACAATATAGACTGAGAGGTTTAAAAAACATTTGTTGTATCGCAAGGTTCAAATACATGAGAAAGATTTAAAGTCAAACAGTTTTTCTTTTAATTAAGCGGGCCATAGTGTGAGATACCGCCACTAAACTAACCAATCATAGCGTACCTACTGACTGCCGAGATACGATAATGGTTTACAGTTTACTCACAGTTAATTGTATGAAGGATGCCATCATTGGTCGAACTTAGAGCCTCTTCTTCTGAGCATGAATCCGGTTCCTAAAGTTTGGGAAAAAATAAAGACCATCTGAAAACTGTATAATTTCTTTTTTATTTATTTGTTTTATTGTTATTTGCCTTTAATTTATTGATGTTCTTTACGACAGATATTAAATATAACAGCTTTTTTTTATCGGGATGCAGGTAAAATAAGAGAAAGTGTTTATATTCGGGTTAGAAGAGCAATATCAAATTGAACATGTAAGGCAACACGGTGTCTATATGTTTAAACTCCCTTTAGAAAATAGACGAAACACCACCAAAAGAAAACTTTTAACTCCAAAGCGAATAAACCTGAAAAAAAATTGCCACGACTCCAGGACCCAGTTGTTCGTCGGCTGAATTGCGCTAACCCAGGGTTAAATGTTAATCCGGGTTTCTTTATCCCTTTTTATTATATGGCTGTGTCTCACAAGGACTGGGAACTACCGAATTCACGAATTTGATTGGCTGAAANCAAGAGGTCTTTTCAAATTTAAAGTCTCGAGGCATGTGCGTTAATCACGCCTTACACCAGTTCGATTTTGTCTTCTTAGCTAAATTGTTCTTTCAGTATACCACAATATATTATAAAACTAACCACACAATTTACACTCGATGTCATCATGTCAGATCCAGCTGCTTCACGGGAAAGACTCTCCTCGACCAGCAATGCATTACTCTCCTTTAGTAAGTAAGAGGAAATGATCCGTTATTTATACTGTCTCTATTCTATTGGCCGATCGAAAAAATCGCAACCTTTGCACCAAGCAGATCTGATGATTTTCGCCAAGTGCGTCGTCGGCCTTCGTGAAAGGAAAAAAGTTGAACAAATTTTACAACCAAATTGCACTCCACATTCACTCTGTAACGACGTATATCTAAACTTAACGGTTTCCTTTAAAGTAAAAAAGATAAATTTTATTGGTAATCGCGAAATCATCTTTACTCAGAAAACGATGAAGGTTTCACTTCAGAACTCTTAAAGAAATAGGAAGACAGATAAGTCCTCTGTTTTGAATTCTTAGCAACGGTCTTAAATTCTCCTCCGGTAATAGCTAATCGCCTTTCTGAGCCATAACATACCTTTTTGCTCGTAGTACTTTCAGCAGAGGATATTCCAGACAACAGTAAAATTAAAGAAAGGTGGGTCTCGAACTTTTTCATTTTATGTAAGAGTTTTTTCCCGGCGAGCGCGATATATGGAATCGATTTACGAAGTAAAATAAAATGAGAAACTGACGTCATAATGAAAATTCAAACGTAATTAATACTCTAGCGCGCGCTCCAAGGGGTTTGACTTTGACTATTAATTACCAGAGAGATTTAGCGTTGCGTTTTGCGCGAAACGGCAAATGTCAGCTTGCCCTTCATGATTCACATGAATTTAAAATAGCTTTAGCTTCGCACGCGCTCACGTCCAGGTGGATTTGAAGGCGTTCTTGTACGACTTACAAGGAATAGTTTTGGTGTCCTTTTTCTAGCAATTAACTCCCACTCTGTGAGAGGAAAATGAAGGAAATCTTACGTACATGGCAAACGCGAAGCAGGTTACCTTCAAGAAACGGCAAAGCACAACCTGTAACATGATGGCGGGAAAAACAAGGTCACGCGGTCACTCTTGCCATCCACTTTTCGCATGAAAGCGGTGTTAAAACTTTCTACTGTTTTTGTTAATAGTCCATTTCTATCTAATGGTTCCTTAAGACAGGCATGGGTTGGAAGCGCAATTTCCAAATGGTCAGCGCGCTAGACTCCAAATTGGGAAGTGTGAGTTTAAACCTTGGGTGGAGTCATCTTGAGGGACTATAAGTCCAAAGGCTAGTCCTATTTTCCCTAGGGAGTAGATATGGTAATGAGATATCGCCAGGAAAACTTCAACTAAATGTTGAGGTTAACGCCAATCTCAGTAGCATCTTCTGCGCTCTTCGCAATTGAATCTTCTTCTATGGAGTTTATCACATCTTTTGAAACATTGACAAAATGCGGGGCAGCCAGTTATATAATTTAGCGTGCCTACTAAGATCACGCGCGGGGACGAGAGGAAGAACGCGTTACTGTCCTGACAATATGCGTGAAAAGTTCGAATGTGCTTAAGAAGTGACTTCATCTCGAGAAAAGCTCGGTAACTAGGATATTCTAAACGACAACTCTTGCTTCAAACATTCTGCTTAACGTGGACCTAAAAAATTGGAGGCAAGAATGGCACTACGTGATGCACTTTGGTATTGCAAATGTTTGTAACTTTAAATCACAGTCGACTTATCACAAAAGATAAAGCAGCCGCGAACTCGATATTACTTTTATTTAAACCCAATCAATGCTGTCAAGTAGCCAAAATAACGCATTCGAATATGCTTAAAAAGGCGATAGGATTCTACTTTTAAAGTAATTCACTAAAGAAAAAGATTGCAAACGCCATTCAAAGAAATTTGGGCTTGCGTTTGACAATTGAAGGATTCCTTTCAAACTAACGGAGGGTTTTCTACCCTGAATCGGAGTCGATTACAGTTCAGTCTTTTGTACCTCTTATGTGGACTTTATTTCAGTTTCTGGAGTAGGTCGGTCATTTCACGTTCTGGAGTAGGTCGGTCATTGATTAAGGTTGCTGATTGAGATGCTAAATTGACCACCATGAATGACAGCACCAATAAAGAGCGACAGTGCTCGCTGGCCATGTTGATAATCTGTGGCCGAAATAGCTGAATGAACTGTGGTCGAGGAACATTCAGAACCTTGAGATAAATTTGATTTTTCGTTTTCTCGGTACTCTATAATCTGTTCCACTGAATTACTATCTACAAACCTTGAAGCGACGATTCTGGACAAGCAGAACCTAGTAATTTGTTAGCGAGTGGATGATAAAGAAAACAGACGTTATTCAAATTAAAGAGAAAGCTTTCATCGAAATATTTTTATTTGTAAATGTAACTTGAAAGGCTTCCGAGCAAACTTTAAAACATTTTTTGACAAGTAATTGTCACGATCTGACACTTGTCAATTGAAGAGGAAAAAAGGCTTACGCTTTTGAATAAACAACACTGGTCTGATAAACACACACAGGTTAAATGACCATGCGACAATCTTCTCGTAAAAAAAAAAAAAAAAGAACAACACTGAGAGATCTTACGGAAAGTACTGTCTATTTCCAACGACGATTAATCTTCGAAGACTTACCTCTGTTCTACTGCGAGGATCGTGCATCATACGTATCTACAACCGCAGTTCAAAATATATGAACTTCATATATTCATTGTATCTGATTTATCATCACGGGTTTATTACGAATCAACTTAACCACTGCCACTACTGACTTCTGACTCAATTCAATGCCGACTTCTACCATAGTTACTACTAACTATGCTTCTACTAAGCAAACTGTAAAGTACGTTCTGTCGATAGGCATGAGTAGGCATGATGGCCAACTGACTTTGGAAGACTATACACTTTCTGTTGTATGATAACCAGTGCAAATAATCGTTTTCTTTGTTTTAATTTACGTCAGCTGTAGATATTACACCGGAGATGAGCCCAATAATACGAAATAATTTGAATATATCAAGAGAGTTGAAATGGTAAATTGGCCACCGTTACGATTATAAAAGCTGACTTTTCGAGCGTTAGCCCTTCGTCGGAGCGAAGGGCTAACGCTCGAAACGTCAGCTTTTATAATCGTAACGGTGGCCAATTTATCATTTCAACTTTGTTGATATATTCAAATTATTTCGTTACCCCCACCGACGCAGCCCCAAACAGTTTCTTTAGAAACTATCAGCCTTTATTTGATAATACTAAACACGCGTACAATTTGTTGTGTCTTACTGTAGAAAAGTGACGCCAATCCTTGGTTAAAACGGCCGACCGAACTTTAATAATCACTACCTAAACT